GGTATCTTGAGAAATTTACAGAATAGTAAAAACGCGCATTCCTAACTGGGCAATGACCCAATATTTCCAGTTGTGAGGTTGCTTTCTCGAATGTTTCGAGTTTGAGCTGGAAAGCCGGCCAACCTTCCAATCGATAAGTCTTGTGCTGTACAAAATGCTGGAGGGAAGATGCCTCACATTTAATGGTTATGTGGTTGCAAGCTGAAAGAGACTCAAAGAAAATTGAAGAACTGGACAGTGAAGAGAACAAGAGAGAAGGAAAAGAAAGCTGAACCTAACAAGGGGGAGGTGTGCAGGCTGAGCCAGCCCTAAAATGCCTATGCGATCTTTACCATTCGACGCAGGGTGTGACACTGGTTCCTGATTCGGAATATCTATTCCGTTTTTGCTCGATGAGAATCTGCCAGGAGCACTATAAGCGTCTAAAGTTTTGTTTGGACTCTGAAAATGTGAATCATTTGGGTCTTAGCGGCTTCACGAACTTGCGGACCCAATTCCGTGCAGCAGTGGTGGTCGAAAGTGCAGCCAGTGGCAAAGCTTTTCTGTTTCAGGTGAGACTCACAAGCTCAAAAGCGAAACCTAAGCCAGATAGGAAAATTGAGGATCGAAGTTGTGAGCTCTCATTTCCGGAAGGAAAGCTGCACCACTCGGCTACGGCTGCAATGGATTGGATCTACAAGGAGGCCGTTAAGACCCCAAATGGTCACGGTTCCAGAGCTTTTAGAGCACAGAACTTTGAGCGCTTCTAACTTCCTGGCGGATTCTCATTTACTTAAAAAACGGAATAGAAAATCGGAATCCAGAATCAGCGTCGATACTGCGTCGAGTGGTAAAGAATCACATAGCATTTAGCTAGCTCAGCGCCTTGTAAAAAAACCTGTAAAACCTTCCCTTGTTGATATCCAAGCTAGTAGTGACCTTCATCTTGTAACATTTTAAGTTGTTTTTTTAAATATTGTGTTCTTCAAATGTTTATCTTGTTTAGAAATGCTAATTTTAGCTATGCAAAGTGCTTTACTTTGTTTGTCTACTTGTTGATCCCTGAGCATTCAAATTGTTTCCATTCCAAATTTCTAATAAAAGATCCTAAAAATGGAAAATATTGTTAAAAATTACAACTCAAAGCTTTCCCCACAAAAATGTTAAAAGAAAATAAACAAAGAAAACCAAATATTTAGCATTTCTTGTGGCGGAAAAAGTACTTTCCGACTTCTTATTACATCAATTTTCTTTCATTTCTTCATTGCACTTGCAAGCAGTGAGTCTGAACGAGATATACGTTGATTTCTGACCATAAGTACCTTTAATACCTTTAATAACCTTTAATAACAAGGCTCTTGCTCATAAGATCCGCAGGTAACACCCTGAGCTTGTTTAAAACACCGTAACTACCACAACTACCGTAAATACTGTAATTGAAGGGCATACCCTTCCTATTTTTTTTCCTATCCTTCCCGAAAAATCACATAAGGGGGATCGTATAATTAAAAAATCTTTTTAAAATCACTCTATCTCGTTTCATTTTTCTATTCATTTTTCTATTCAGTCATTAAACCATTTTAAATGTAAAAATGGTTTCTTTCGATAAAGTGATGCATCAAAAAATTGACAAGTAAAAAATTTGAGTCTAATATTTCCTAGGGTGAAATTTTACGCTCTTTCAAATGGGATTTGTTGTTGGAAAGGTTTGCCAAAAACGTTTCATTCATAATCGGTGTGGCGAATAGCCAATAAAAGTTATCTAACTCTGACAGCCTAAAAATTGGAAAAGTATTGGGAAATCAGGTGCGCCTTCATTCTATTTCGCGCCCCAAATCATTTATTATTTTGTAGCTTGTTAGCTGAGTATCTTGTGTTAAAGCCTATATAAGGCAACTGTTGTTCATTTGTTAGTGGTTATCTTTCATTTTGCTTTCTGCTTTCCTCTCATTTTTGTGTGAAAGTTGTGTCCTAATTAGGACGAAATTGTTTCTGTTTCTGTTTTATCGTCACTTTTAATTCAATTGTCGGTCTTGTGTGAAAGTTGCTCAAGTGAGAGCCCAAAGATTCCGAGTCAGTCGGCTATTGAATAAAGTGATTTTTTTTTAGTTCAAATGAGATCAGATATCTCAAAACAAGAAATAACGTGTCTTGAGTGAAGAGTACCAAGCACGCAAAGAAGATTTCTTTACAATCGGCTACGATATATTAATTCCAAAACGACAAAAACACGATAAAAAGATCACATTTAATGCTTGAAAGAAAAACAAAAGAAAGAAGTTTCGTTGGAAAATACGGAGAGCCGATCGAACCGGTTTGACGACCGGTTCACTAAATTTGAGTGTTTCGATTATCAAATTTTCTCTAAATGAATAAATTCTTAATAAGAAAGGAAACCTTAATTTGCATTTTGTCGGCAATTTTTCCTCTTTCATTTTCGGATTCGGTAAACAGTGAAGAGTGATGATAACGGAGGATATTGAGGTGATCCCAACACAGACAACCACATAAATACCTAGATCAAATTTATATTGGGTTGGTGAATTGAAAACTGCCGGACTTTGAACTAAAATTTAAAAATTTTACTCAACATAAAGCCATAAATTCATTCAAAATAATTTCCATTATTATTGACGACTTCTGCCCATTTTACAGGCAATCTGCGAAGTAAACTAGTCTATGAAGCAAATAGAATTACCATTGTTAGACCAAAATAATGGCACATACCTTAGGTAGATATGAATCCTTTTAGTGTCATTTATATGTCATTTATTTATCCTTTTTCTCGGCTTATTGCCCTTTACATCCGACCCATAAGGAAGAGCTTAAAACTATCTTCTTTCAAGCATTAAATTAACTATTGGGTTGGTGAATTGAAAACTGCGGGACTTTGAACTAAAATTTATTCGACATAAAACCATGAATTCATTCCAAATAATTTCCATTATTATTGACGACTTCTGCCCATTTTAAAGGCAATTTGCGGATTCCTCTTTAGTAGTAGGATTTTGATTTGTGTGTGAGACAAGTGTGAGGCTCAAAAATGGACTGGAGATGTCCCAGTTTGTCCAGTTTGAGCACTTTCTTCAAAAGAAATCCATTTTAGTGTCAATAGAAAAGTTGTAGAGAATCAAAAATTAGGCTTGTAGCCAAATTTCCAAAAAGATACACTTAGTAGTTTCGCTTGAAATGCAAGTTTTGTGAAAATTCGTAAATTTGGCATTTCTTGAAAGCCAGTTTTTGAATCGTTCTGAAAATTTGGATATAAGCTTGATTTTTGATTCTCTACAACTTTTCCATAGACACCAAAATGGGTTTCTTTTGAAGAAAGTGGTCAAATTGTCACATATGACAATAGCCCGGAGTTTTCAATTCACCAACCCAATAAAAGACATGAATTTCCTGCAAATACCCAAATTATTTCTTTCATTTGGCATTAATTGTCCTTTATTTATCATATTTGTATAAAACTATAGTCAAAACGCGTTAGTAAACCTGTGAAGGGATCCTGAAAAAGTCGTGATGCTAAAGAGGTTAGTTTCGAGGTCAAAATTGGATTCAAAACGAAGACAAGAAGTCAAAACAAAATTGGAAAGCATCCAAATTGATCCAGGGATCCCAAACTTCGTTTACTATCTATTAATACTAACAAGTTTTGACTGTAGTTTCACCTAATAACGGAAAAACAGAAGTTTTAGGAATGGCATCCGAGAGCATATCCAACAGCACTGTCATCGAGACGAGACTTGTCAGACCGATGGTTAACTAGAAAGAAGTTTTGATAAAGACATTGCAAAAAAAGAAAATTTGAACAAACTTATCATGGTTATCGCAGATTTTTCTTAAGAAACTGAATTTTTCATTAAATTTTGTCACAGCTAACAAGTATTTAGCTTATTATTTAGTTATTTAGCCACAGCCTATTATTTAGTTTTTAGTTAAGTGATTTGGAAATGCTGAAAGACTAACGAAGCGTAATTCAATGCTTAACTAGTGTGATTTCCTTTCAATTATTTCAATTAAATGGACTATGTAGAATAGGTGAGAGTGAAGGAAATGTTGTTTGACTATGACTACCGTATTCTCTCTAATAGTAGTGCACCCTGGGCGTCGCTTAAATTCCTCGAAATCTCGAGAACCGCTTAGCAGAACCTATCGATGTGGGGTCGGAAAATGGAGCTGACGATGAGATCTTGTGGGGGATTTGAGTGTTGAGCTTCTGCAAAAGCTTGGAAACCGTAAAACCGTCACCAACTCGGCGGGGTGCACTACTATTAAAGAGAATACGGTATTCGATTAAAAAGGTTATTATTTAGTTATCTAGCCTAAGCCCATATTATTTAGTTTTTAGTTAAGTGATTTGGAAATGCTGAAAGACTAACGAAGCGTAAGTCAATGCATAGCTATTGTGATTTCCTTTCAATTAACTTACAAGGAATGTGCACCAACTTAAGGTGAGCTTTTGGATCGAGACCCAGATCATTCAATGCAGAATTTCACATTGATTCCGAACCTGCTTTCCATCTTTGCAAAATGGCTCTCTATAAAAAGTTACAAACATTTTGAAAATGAAATGAAGTAAAAAGAGCCAAAAAATGAAATTTTCCTGGCTGAAATGGGATTCCCTCATAAGGCTTCTTCAGCCAAAAGTGGATTGGCGGCGCTGTGGGTAGAGGATTTCTATCTGAAACGATTTCTATCCAAAACGATTTCCTCATTTTTATGCTTGAGTCCAATTCCTTGGGCTCGAAATGATAAAATTCAGCCGGTTTGCCGCCGGATATCTAGAAAATGATAGCTCGATTTCAAACACTTGTTTCTTTCCGCTTTCCCAAAGAAATCACTCCCAAGGAAATCCCATTTCATCCAGGAAAATTTCATTGGCTTTTGGCTCTTTTTACTTCATTTTTCAAGGAATTTAGACAAAACTTAGGGTGCACTACTATTAGAGAGGATTCGGTAGCCATAGTCAAACATTTCCTTCACTCTCACTTATTCTACATAGTCAATTTCTATCTTCAACATGCTCTCACCTTAACTAGTTGCTCTTTTTTGATGTTCGGGGTCCAGAACATCCCAACCACTGACAAAGCGGTCAGAATGAAACACGGCAGCGCGATCACATAGACATAGAAGTTGGGAACTCGACGAATGCTCAGCACATAGCCTATCTGAGGATATTTGGAGAAGTGTAATCTGAGATTTATCCCAAGACTCACATATTCACTTCCACCTTGATTCACGTTAATCGTCGTGATATTCGTCACATCCCACTCACCGTTTCCCTAAAAAAACTGCTTGAATTAAGTTGGGGTTGTACAAAATGAAACCTAAAATTATGCTGGAAGTGAAATCAAACGAACCCACGTGGTCATCTCTTTCGTCAGTCTTGAGAACTCCTCGGGCAATAACTTTTGCATGGCTGCTGAACCCTGTAAACGGGTTACTGTACTAATTGAAGTTACTGTACGGGTTACTGTACTCTAATTGAAGCACAGTCTGCAATAGAAACAATTTTAGGAAGGGGGTTGGAAAATAGAAGCACAGTCTCTAATAGAAGCAACAAATTTTTTAAATGCCCTACTTTGCTACCGTACACCATTTCATTCATTTTTTTCTTGCAAAACTTCTCTACAATCCTCATTATTTTTTACGTTTATTAAACTTTTTCTCTTCTTTTTTTGTTTTTATCAAATTGCTAATGTGCTTATTTTTAGTGATGGCTGAGCTATCAATAATTCTTTTGGACTCTCTCGAGAAATATCGAGCTCTACGAGAACACGCAGAACACGAGGATTTCTTCTGGGAACAACGAGAGAAGAACGCAAATGAAGTGATGAATAGAAAGCCTCGGTCAGAAAACGATTACTCGAATTCTCTGGACGACCAGCAATTGTTCAAGAAGCGGAAGGCTTATTCGATTGATTTCAAGCTGGACACCATGGAATATGCAAAGAGAACCTCTAAAAATGATGAGAGCAGGTTTTTCGTTTAGGGTCGTTTAGGGAATTCGAGTAATCGTTTTCCGGCCGCGTTTTCCGGCTATTCATCACTTCATTCGAGATCGAGCAATGATCCATAAATGGATTCCATTCAGGAAGGACAATTGTGAAAAATGAGGAAATCGTCCAAGGGATTGAAAGGAGTCGGGAGGAAACTTACAAACAAATAACTCGATCAAGAACTGGCCGACTGGATCCGAAGCGAGTGGCAGAAGTGGAACAAAGTTTCGAGAAGAGGGATTCACAAAAAGGTAAAAAAGCATGTGCGAGCAGAATGACATCAGGCTTGGAACGAGGAGATGATCGAGTTGGAGGAAATCGATCTTGGCGAAGATGAAGAGATAACAAAAGAAAACAACAAAGTGCTACGACAGTGATGCCTTTATTGAAGTCGGCGATATTAACGAAAATGATATGTTTGCTTGAAAATGCTTTTCATTTTGTTAATTAATTGTTGCCTACATTTAAATGTAACAGGCAAATCGTAAAAGCTTGTAGTTAGACAAAACACAAACCTCTTCACTTGCATAGGCACGCATAAATGGATCGACTTGGGCACTCATCGAGATATGCTTTCTGAATTGTTGACTTCAATTAGTAGATGAGTTTTGAAACGATAAAATCAATTCCATTTTATTCCACTAGAAAAAAGAAACTAGACAAAACATAGTTAGCCTTAATAAGAAACTATAAATTTGTCTAGAAAAATCGGTCCATTCTCCAGTTTCTTCTACTTACTTTCTATTAAGTACATGCATAAGAAATGCGGATTTCAACATTTTCATAAATTTCCAACGATAGAAACCTGATATCGATGAATGATATCGATGAATGTTATACTATTTGAATGTAAACTATTTTAAAGTTGGAAATCTCCTCTATAAAATAGGCTAAAACGTGTTTCAATTGATCGAACTATTGAAGAAATTTCGAGGGCGAAATGCGAGTGACCAAAAAAGGAATCGAGTCACTTTTGGGACAAGTTTAGTATGGTCAAAATAGAGTTAGCTTCCTAAAATCGAAGATTTTTAAAAAAAGTGTTTCAATTGATCGAACCGTTAAAGCAATTTCGAGGGCGAAATGCGAGTGACCAAAAAAGGGCACTTTTTGAAAACCCCACTTTCACAAGAGTTCGGTTTGGACTATATAGTGGAAAATGAGCGCCCTAAAATTTCATTCAAAAGAATTAAGAGTTGGGATCATTTCATGGAAAAACTTTGTTTCTACAATAATTTTTCTTTTTTGTGAAAAAGCCGGTTTTTTTGACAATTTTGAGGGGTTTGAACTTACGCTCTATTTAAATTTCTGTAAATGCATTTCCGTTAGACTTTTTAATGGATTGATTTATAGTTATCCTTTTTTAAAATCTTCAATTTTGGGAAGCTAACTCTATTTTGACCACACTAAACTTGTCCCAAAAGTGACTCGATTCCTTTTTTGGTCACTTTCATTTTGCCTTCGAAATTTCTTCAATGGTTCAATCAATTGAAACACGTTTTAGCCTATTTTGTAGAGGAGATTTACAACTTTCAAATAGTTTATAACATTCATCGATATCAGGTTTCTATCATTGGAAATCTATGAGAATGTTGATAACCGCATTTCTTATGCATGTACCTAATATTTACTTACTACGATTGAGTATAAGAAAGCTTTCAAATAAGCAAATGACTTTAAAATCTCTATTGTAGTGATCTACTGAGCTGTTTTAAAAGATAAAAAGTTTTTGCTTTTTCACAATCACAAAATGAAAAGATCACTTACGCATCAAAGGCTAACGACATCACCATGATTGGGCATATTTGCTTATCGAAAGGAAAAGTGGTTACCTGCAAAAAGTTTCATTTTACTTTTTCTTGCTATTCTTTTACAATGATTGGACAGGCGACTTCAGCGTAATAAAAAACGGGAAAATAAACGGTGCCATTGCTGAAGATTTGCACCACTTTCACCGCCTCCGCCTTCACCGAATCGAGAGTTCTTCTGAAAAAAGGTGATATTCTCTTTTTTAATACATCGATGATTTTTGGAAAACTTTCATTGCAGACCATAGCTACTAGGTTGTTAGAAAACTTTCATTGCAGACCATAGCTACCAGGTTGTTAGAAAACTTTCGTTGCGTAAGAAAGCTAGGACTTTCATTTTATGAATTTTTACAAATTTAATTTCTTTTTTTCTTATGTTTTCAAGTCTACGAGTCCTTCAATTCTTTGTCGTTTTCTTTTGATATTTGGTGAGGTTTTTTTATGGTTGTTTGTTTGTTTGTTTTGAAAGTTGGAAGATAAAGAAATATCGTTCATAAAAATTTCACTACATTTTTTTGTTGAAGTCGAATAGTCAACTATTTTTATTACAAAGAGCAAAATGATGGAGATTTTAGAGATAAATAGAGTCTATTTAAGCCTCACGCATTTCCGATTTGCGTGTCCGGGATCCAGAGGGCGTCGGAGGCGACGAAAATATTGTCGACTCCATCGAATTTGCTCTCATTCCACGCAAGTCTCGGGTCTCGCCAGAACGAAAACGATTCATTTTATCGATCAAACTCACCATTTTCAGTTCTTTTCCCCAAACTCACCATTTTCAGCTCAAGACAAACACTCAAGAGTTGACTCTCGGCATTCAATGAAATCATTTTGAGAAACCACAAGTCAAAATGGACATCAAGTGGGGAGCCTGTGAAAAGGAAATGGAATTGGCATTAGTGGCATTGACATTGACATTGACATTGACATTGACATTGACATTGACATTGGCATTGACATTGGCATTGACATTGACATTGACATTGGCATTGACATTGGCATTAGTAGCAATTGACGAACCACTGCCATTCCCCGAAGACTTCTGGTATATCGGGGTCACGTAGCGATTGTAGGCTCGTTTGATGAACAGCTCGTTGTACAAATTGTTGACCGCGTTCATGTGCGCCGAGTAGTCGGCTGAATAACAAGAACTCTATCATGAGCGCTTATTTTCAAAAACTTAGCTATTGCCATAGTTAGATAGTTATAAGACTTATACAGGGTGGCTGAAAAGTCGTGTCCACATTTTTAAGTAGCTTAAAAACTTACTCGTCTTTTATATTTTAGTACCAGATTTGTTTTTAGGGTTTGCCGTCGCTTCAAACTCAGTCGAAAATGTGGAAAGGACTTTTCAGTCACTCTATAGTCAGTACAGCAATCACCATCTTTATTTGTATGAACTATGGAAAAGAAAACAACGAGAAACAAATCCGGAAACCTATAAAAATTAGTGTATACTAGTTTGCATGGGGTAAAATTTTATCTCAGCATTCTATGCATGTAAATAAATGCAAAGCTATTAGGTACATGCATAAGAAATGCGCATTTCAAGATTTTCATCAATTTCCAACGATAAAAACCTGATATCGATGAATGTTATAAACTATTTGAAAGTTGTAAATCTCCTCTACAAAATAGGCTAAAACGTGTTTCAATTCATCGAACCATTGAAGAAATTTCGAAGGCGAAATGCGAGTGACCAAAAAAGAAATCGAGGCACTTTAGGGACAAGTTTAGCGTGGTCAAAATAGAGTTAGCTGCCCAAAATTGAAGATTTTAAAAAAAGGATAACTATAAATCAATCCATTAAAAAAGGCTAACGGAAATGCATTTACAGAAATTTAGATAGAGCGTAAGTTCAAAACCCTTAAAATTGTCAAAAAACCGGCTTTTTCACAAAAAAGAAAAATTATTGTAAAAACAAAGTTTTCCCATGAAATGATCCGGACTCTTAATTATTTTTAATGATATTTTGAATGATTTGGCGGTCATTTTCCACTATATAGTCAAAATCGAACTCTTGTGAAAGTGTTGAAAGTGTGAAAGTTTCAAAAAGTGCACTTTTTTGGTCACTCGCATTTCGCCCTCGAAATTTCTTCAATGGTTCGATCAATCGAAACACTTTTTTTAAAAATCTTCGATTTTAGGAAGCTAACTCTATTTTGACCATACTAAACTTGTCCCAAAAGTGACTCGATTCCTTTTTTGGTCACTCGCATTTGGCCCTCGTAACTTCTTCAATGGTTCGATCAATCGAAACACTTTTTAGCCTATTTTGTAGAGGAGATTTACAACTTTCAAATAGTTTATAACATTCATCGATATCAGGTTTCTATCGTTGGAAATTTATGAATTTATGAAAATGTTGAAATCCGCATTTCAAGTACCTAATATATTGGCTTTGGCAAACCATTTTAAGTATTATCTTTTACTTGCTGTACCTGAATCTCCATTTTCGGTGTAGTCGAATTGTGAGTGACATGATTGGAGAAAATAGATGAGCAAAATCAATTTGAACATTTTGCTCTGAACACTAAACTAAATTAGAATGAAATATCGGAAATTTGCAATAGGCAATTGCAACAAATGCAATTCAAAATTCGAAATTGGAGACTGACTTCCTCTTTTCGCTTTTCGCTCAGCCAGGTAGCCCCTACTCTTTGGCCCATTTTGCCCACTTGAACCCCTCGACAAATCAAACAATTTCATGGAAAATAATGACTATTCGCATGGATAAAGAATTGAAAGTGCAATTTTGAAGTGCTGCACAATGTTGTTTGTGATTAGAATGTGTGGTTTACATTTTTTTTCAACAGTCACATCTTTATCAACATCGACAGTGGCATCTTTATCAACATCGACATTGGCATCTTTATCAACATCGACAGTGGCTCTATTTTTCAATTTCCATCAATATTTTGGCAATAAAATTGAAAAAAATCAAAAACCATGCATCGTCGACACGTTCACCACAAGATACGCGGTGGTGATGACAAATAAGATCTATTCTATGTACCTCAAACGTTAGCCGATGATGCGATCACAGGAGATAGATCAGAGGATGATTAGTGGACTGTCGAACCGGGTCAGTTGGGAACTCAAGTGAAGTGATATTTCATTGGTCATTTCCAATTTAGCGCTATGAGGCTTGGACCTAATATCAAAGCTTAGGAAGGGTTACAAAGTCTCTCATCACTTTTCAATTCTAAGCTACTGTGGCGAATTGCCACTGCTCTGCAGTTAGTCAAAAATTCAATACACAAGTTAAAATTCAAAGTCGATGGATAAACTACCGTAATCAGTCACTAGACGATAGTCACCTTTATCAACATCACCTTAGGTGAAAATACAGTCAAACTTCGTTAGCGACCTCCTCGATAGTGAACTAATCTCTTTAGGGCTTTTTAGAGGCCCTAAGAGCAAAAATCAAAAATAAAGCCCTTTGAACCTCTTCAATGACCTAACCTTGATAGTAACGGGGCTTTTCTGGGTCACTTCTATAGATCCCTAACGAGTTTTGCTTAGAGTGTGTTCCTTGCAGACAACGCGTTTTCTAAAAAGCGCGCGCCAAGGATAAGCTACCGTAACCCTGCATCAGCAAATTTTTCAAAATGCAAATGTACATTAAAATCTTGCGCTCTTTTTTCTATTACTCTTTACTTAACTCTATTACTCTTTCGCTAAAACTTAAAATTTTTTAAATGCTATTTAAAATTAAAGAAAACATTTAAAACGGGAAAAGTTAAGAAACACTATTAAAAAATTATATTATTTCCGAAATTACCAGGCCCATTGTCTACATTTGCACTAGAACCATTCCAAAAAAAATTTCACGCCCCAAAAAACCTAAATCCTTAAATAAAACTATCCATTACCATATTTTCAGAAAAGTTTGCAAATTTTTTTCCCGCGACCTTTATAGCTTTGCTTAAAAAGCGCACCTTTTAGAAAACGCGTTGTCGGAAGTTTGTCGGATCAATTGTCTGACAAAAAAGTTGTCAATGAAAATTTGTCTGACAAATTGTCTGTCAACAAGGAGCACACTCTAGTTTTGCTGTAGTTTGTAGTTTGTAAGTTTTGTTTCTTTTTAGCGACACATAATAGCCAAACATAATCCTGTATTTGCTTTGGCAGGGACTGGGTTAGGGCTTGGAACTGGCTTGGAACTGGCTTGGAACTGGGATATCACATGTTTCTGGTGCTACGCGAACAATAATCGAAATCGCCTATCGAACACGGGGAATCCGATGCTGTGTTCAGTTTTTCAGAAAAACTGTCTTGAAGAGTAGTGCGCTAAAGTGCCGTTTTTCTATAGTCAAAATGGCACTTGGGCAGAAAATGATTTAGCGAGCTCTGAAACGTTACCCTTTTCTATTTTACTTTATAATTCTACTCCCAATGATCGGATCGACTCAGGGTTAGTTTTAAAAGAATCCCGACTAAATTTGGTTATAGAAAAATACAATTTATCTTGTATGCTCATGTGTAAGAACATAGAGAAAATTTGTGTCAAAGTTTACTTACCTACCTACAGAAGTCAATCAACTTTGACGGTTTATAACTCGAGGTATAGAAGCTGAATCAACTTAGGCTTGGTTTTAATAGAATCCTCATTAAATTTGACTAAAGAAACGTCAACTTTCGTCAACGCCATATGCAAAAACATGCGAGAAAAACGTGTCGAAAGTTTGGGTGTCTACTCGGGGAAATCGTGCCTGGGGCTTATAAAGGCTTTTTTCCGAGTCTCGACTCTCGAAATGTGGCTAGATGGCGTAGTGGCAATTGCGGTAAACGAAAATAGAGCAAAAATGCTGCTGCATCTCTTTTAATGATTAATAATCTGGCTTTTTATTTCTATATTTATTCATTAATTAATTAAAAATGTACTTATTGTAATCTCTCAAAAACTATTTATTACCAATTTTGACTGTAGAACTTAAAGTACATTTGTGTTTCGACGTACTTATCCACTTGCGTTGCCTCGGCGTCGATAGTGTTCATCTGTTTTCAAAAGTTTTCAAAAAGCAACGTAATCGTTCAATTGGTTGTGGATCTCTCCTTTCCCCTCTTGAAATATTGGCTTCGATGTCAAAATCTAAAATTGCCCGTGATTCTCACAGAATGGATAGCCGCTTTTTAATGAGTTCAAAATGCATCCACAAAAGGAAGGCATCGAACCCGAGCCAAAAACTTGCTAGCTTATTTCGGAAACAAGACTCTTATCCACTACACCTCAGAAAAAAATCAGGAACGAGAACTCCAGTAAATTTCATCTTTCTAGGCATCTCCGGTTGCCCACACGGGAATCCTTTATTCAACTCTCGGGCAAATTTTCATGAATTGTTGCAGAAGCTTCGTTTAGCCCGAAACACCTGAGAAAACAACGTAATCTTTCAATTGATTGTGGATCTCTTCTTTCCCCTCTTGAAACATTGGCTTTGATGTCAAAATCTAGAATTACTCGTGATGTTCATAGAATGGATAGCCGCTTTTTAATGAGTTCAAAATGCATCCATTCCTACGATAATTTTTTGCAACTCTCGTTGGATTTTAATTGTCGAATTTGCCAGAAATTTGTCGGTTTATATCTCGTGAACGTCGATGAAGCGTAGGATTTGTGCCCTTTTAGAATACCCTCAACCAGGAGATATTTATACTTTAAACTCGAGTTGTTTACTACATGAAACTTCCAGAGGATTCTCTGTAAGTATTTGTCTAATCGGAGCATTTATTTAGTCTTTTCTTTCTTTCTTTTGTTCTTTTGTTCTTTCTTTCTTTTGTTCTTTTGTTCTTTCTTTCTTTTGTATTAAAAATGTACTTATTGTAATTTCTCGAAAACTATTTATCACCAGTTTTGACTGTAGAACTTAAAGTACATTTGTGTTTCGATGTCCTTATCCACTTTTGTTGCCTCGGCGTCGATAGTGTTCATCTGTCGGCCGATCATTTTCAGGAAAAGCCAACAAAAATTGCTCCTCCACTCTTTCACAGAGCTCAGCCCAACCACCATGTAACCAGCACATGACCTGGAATTTAAAGAGAAATTCTTCGTGCCTCTTCATTCAAACTTACATCGTCACCCATAGCTCGCTGAGAGCGCCAAATATTTGAGATTCGAGTGAACCCTCGACACAGTATAACACTGAAATCATTGACCATG